ATGCAGCATCGTTGCGGATCGTACTCTGAACTTAGCAGTTGTCACGCTCATTGAAACCGAATTAAAGTATATACATGTATAAGTGGAAGAAAAATCAATTTAAATAAGCTAAATTTCAAACTTTAATCGGAAATCAGTAACTAGATCACATTGAAGCCCATTTTAAGAACGTCTTCTGCTTTGCAGCGTAAGATCTTTGTTCAGAACAAATACTGACTCTGTTCGGGAGTTTGTTATTTAGAATAGTCTATTATTTTAGTTTACTTATCGCGAAGTGGCAGTCATGTTTGTCACGTATAAATATGTTTGGTGTAAAGTGTTTGTTTTTGCTTCAGGACTGGAGCGAGGAGTTAGCCACCGGCCGCAAGCTACTCAAGCAGCTCGAACAGTGTTTGCCACCAGACTCTGGTCGAGAATACAGAAACCGGTTCAGTGTTCTCGAACACGAGTACCACGAGTCCTTGCTCGCGTTTGACTGTTGCATGGTGAACTGGCTTGAATTGAAGAGTCGGTTCTCAGAGGTCGATCGTAGCCTCCTGCGTCTCGAAGGCATGGTTTCTGCCCCTGGCAAAAGTTCTCCGCGAATCAATGATGTCGAGGTAAAGTGGCTTTTGCACCAACAACGTCACATCACCTAGAAACTTGTGACATGTATTTACTGTTTAACATGCATTTATAAATAAATTGTACTGAATTATGTACAATAGCGTACCGTATATTTCTAGCGTAAGGTTACATGTTCAGCTAAAGATGGGGAAATTATTACGCATTATTACCGTTTTACCATAATGATGTGCACTTAACGAATGTTTTATTATGGTATAGTACGCGAGTGACCACTATTAATTCTCTATTCTCAGGAACATTGTTATCATCGTTATTTATGGCATTAGATTCAGATGGCGAGTGCTCGGATTAAGGATGCCAGATGTCTGATGACATGATTTTCAAGTTTCGATGGTGTTATTTTACCTCATTTTCGTGGATGCACAACAAACTCTCCTTGCACCATCGCTGGATCTTCTTTACTTATAATTCGCCTGTTCCCTGATCTATACAGTTACTTGCGAACTGTTGCTCTCAAGCATTGCCGGTCATTTGGCTTCCGAAATCTCCTACTTTGATTCACCGTCAGTGCATCTACAAGTTTCTCAATCATTGATTGCTTTTAATCGACTTTTGCATCCATCATGAGAATTCTGCACAACAAACGAGAACGAAAATGCTAACGTTCTTCATTTTGTCATACGATCCTTTACTCTGGCCATTTACCTTTTCCGGTGTTCCCGCTGAGGTTGAGTTTTTGAGCAAAACAGCTGGATTCTAGCTAAACAAGATCGGCATGATGTTTTTGGAGCTAAATGTGCTGATCACTTCCTATTTTCGCTCGTTTGTCAGTATATTTGTTAACATAATTCAGTTTTTCCGTTGTGAGGATACAAACTACTCGATCATAAGCATAAAGATATTGTATTGTTTCATGTAATGTATATGTCGAGTAAAGTATCCTTTGAAAATTTGTGATGACGAAGAACATTCCATCGGCATAAAAAATTCAGATGATCTCTTTTGTATGCAATAAAAATTGACATGAAATAATTTCATTCTTCTCATGGCCGTTTAATATCTAAATCTTTCTAAAAGTAAATGATATTTTATGTCGCTGGCGCAATGCGACACTAGAGAAAAGTAAAGGTGAATTTTTTTTGGTATTCGAGCGATGAACCACTCCCATCGGTGGTTCAGTTGCTAGTTTTTCATTATCTTATTCTCCAGTCTGTTTCGTTTGTAGCATTTTCAATAACTCGTTACTTATTTACTACGTGGGAAATTAATTTAGACGAGCGTTATAAGAAACCAGATGTCGATTGAGAGTTTCTCTCAATCTTGTAACACAAAGACATTGATTGATCTGAGTGTAATTGCAAAATTATTTATCCTTGTTTCGACAATGAATGAGTTCCCACTGTAATAGTCCGAGTCTTGTTTTGCTTACGATACCTACTTCCTGGTCAGAGTGCTAAACCTCTTCAGGGTGGATCATTAGCTTCGAATGCGTTTGCGAGTAGGAGCACGTAATTTCATAGTCTGTTATCAACCTCTTCGACTAACAGTGGCATATTTTTAAAATCTATTTAAGTATTTTATGTTTTTTTGTTATTTACACTGCATACGCTTCAGGTTCGTCAGATGGGTGAAGATTTGCAGCTGCTGATAGATACGTATCGAGATATAGTTGAAATGACTGGACCGCTTATTAATGAATGCTTTACCATGTATACATACGTATACCGTTACCTTCGCTGCCGCCATCTGCGTTTCGTGAGTTTTTGTTGTGGCGTTGTTTCTTCGAGTTGAATTTGACATGTATAACTTTAGGCGGTGCCGCAGTACGCGGATGCTGTTAGACACGTTAGTGACGAAGTGCAACGCTGCTATCGATGGGCGAGTGGTGACCACGAAGTCGCCGGTGGCAGAGGCGGTAGTGGTCATCGGCCTGCCTGTGGTAATAAATGGGAGACAAAGTTGGTTGCTTTGATCGAGCAGTGTCGTCGCTCGAGTC